GACTGATTATGTTTTTAGCTACTAAAATATTTCAGTCATTGTTTAGCCCAGAGGACTACTGTGCTACTTTCTGCTTTAGCTATGCTACTTTCTAGTTCTGCTATAAAGGTTCCTGCACATTGGACAAAGGTGATGGTGAGGTTGTTATTGTTGTAAAGTATGTCCTTTTAGTACTGTGACATTATTACCACAGTACTTAATCCACCTATCTGACATTTCTAGGGAGATGGAACTAGCGTTCCTGTACCAGCTTCACAGATGTGCAAACCTCAAGTTTGGCACTTTATGAGCCTAGAGTTTTTCAGTTGCTGTTGCCCTGTATTTTCAAAATTCACAGAAGCCAGCTACCAGACAACAGTCCTTAGCTGTCATAGTAGAGATGGCAGGGAGACTGATTTTTAGAAATATTTTATTTTGCCTAACTGCTTTTGTTTCCCTTTCTGTAATCTTGTGCCAGAGGTGACTGCAACAAACCTCCTCTCGCTGTAGGCCTGAAAATGAATGGTCATGCTATGTGACCATTTTTGTTTAGGAATTCACTGGAAGCTTGAGGGCCCATTGACATTAAAACACGAGTGCTGCATTGCAATCTCCTGTATGTTAAATTGCCTATTTTTTTCGAATGGGCCTTAATACAGGATCACATATCATGGGCTGTGATGTACTGTAGCACAGGTGTGTTGTGTATGTGCATTGGTGATGCCATACAGCACACATTACAGCTGTGTACTAGGTGTGAACAACCCCTGAATATCAACCTGCTAACTCGTATCTATGGTTGCCATCATTAATATTTACAGACAAGTTGGAAATCATATACTACCATATATAGTACCATATACTCCAAGTAAATATGTCTGAGGTCACAGTTTACAGCCATACATTGGAGAAGTATCTAAACACAGACTAGACCCCCTTGAAGACAATGGCTTACAGTACCTGACTTTCTTCCTTTAAGCAATTTACATAAATAAACTGCATTGTCCCTTGTCATTTATCATTGGCCTGTATATGCCATAAAACCCGGTGCCAGTTTATCCAGACAAGCAATTATTGTGCTAAATGAGCTTTTGGCAGGAGAGGAGACATTCTGGTTTCCTTTAACTTCTCCACTCCAGAAAAGTCCAAACATCCATTTGCAATCAAAGCAATCAGCAGTCCTCTAATGAGCAGAGGGTTAATGGGGAGGTGTGCAATTGATTCTTATCTAAAATCACCTGAAAGAGAGAAAGAGGGGTTGAGGGTCTTATCTCTTCTACAGAATATACACTTAGCATTTGATCTACTTCATAAAGACATCAAGCTATTGACTTTGAAATTCAATCAACATTTGCTGTCATTATCTGTCATTGCCTCATTTCCTATGCTGTTGTTTCTTACTAAAAACAAATTAAAATGATTCCCCACATATAGGACCTAGAACCAAATATCTGACAGAATTGCCTCCTTCCCAGTTGTTTTCCTCACTGAAGAAATAAATAATTATACCTTTTTTTTTCTATCTAGCTTTAAGGCCTCATGTACACATGAACTCCCCTGGACGGTAAGCTCTCCTGACTGCAGAAGAAACACAAAACTCTGCAAGCAGTTCCACGTTTAGCACTTGGAAGTTTATTCACTTGATTGGCCAACAGCTAAACGTGGCTAGCATTTAGACGTGTTTACATGCATTTTTGCTGCATTTAATGTTTTTTGGCCAAAACGTTCCTCTTCTAAACATGATTTTTCTGCAGGAGAGGAACGTTTAACTGCCCCTCAACTCTGCTGCTCCTAAACTCTGGTAAAAGCCTATGTGTACCTCGAATTGAATTCAGGGGCTTTGGGAGAAAAATGCTATGAGGCCTAACGGTGCTTGCTTTGGCTGCTCTATATAGCTGATCACATTTTCAAAGCAAACTGCATAAAAATACTCAGCGATAGTCAACAGCATAGTGAAATGAACAATGAAATGACCATAATCAGTCAGAGCTTATGCAAGCCTAGCATGACCAAACAAAAGGGCAGCATTGTGACTAAATGGTTAGCATTTCTACCTAGCAGCACTTGGGTTACAGGTTTGAATCCCAACCATGGCACTACCTGCATTGAGTTTGCATGTTCTCCCTGTACCTGCCTGGGTTTCTTCTGGGTACTATGGTATCTTCCCACACTCCAAAGGCATGAAGTGTATATTTGAGACACTGTGTAATGAATGGCACTATATAAGTACCTGGAATAAATAAATAGAAGTGGTTAGCTCCTAGGAGTTATGCCTGCTACACACAGGGGTTTTTTTTTTTCTTCGTTCAACCAAGCAGGCTGAACGAAAAAAAAAAAAAAACTGAGAGATCGCTGCACTAACTAAACGATGTTAGTGCGGTGATCTCCCCCTCAGAGCTATTGTGTTCTAACAGGAGGACTGGCTCCCCACCAGAACATACTGATCAGCACTCACAGCCATTGGCTGCAAGCACTGATCGGATGCTGGTTTTCCAGCATGTCCATTCGATAAAAGCTGGTCACTAGACCAGATTCTGTCGGACAGGCTGCTGAACATACGGGCCAAATGTCAGCCAGTTTCTGTTGAATTCATCTCATGTATACCAGCATTTGTATTTGTACTACCATGCACTGCTCTTTGTCTCATTGCTCATCTTCCAATAAAAACCATTGTTCAAATTGATCAATTCAATGAAATGCCATATTTAATAACATCCAATCACTCATTACTAATTGACAACCATTGTGAGAACATTTACCCATTCTGATTAGGTTTTAAATCAGTCTGAGTGATTGAGATGGCTCCAGCAGACCTGTTATCATCTACCAGGACAATGAATCTATAAAAGGGTTAAAAACAATAATATAAGACAATCTAATTCTAAAAAAGTATTGATTCAATTAGCAGCCCCTGGTATCATTGAAGGCCAGCCTTCTTGAAATGAACTTGGTGCCAGTCAACTGCCCCTTTAACTACTGTCTTGTGGAATTATGATGATTTGAGAGTTAAAGCACAATGGAATTAACAGTAACACCCAATAAGACTATTGTTATAGGCATCATTATAAGTGTTGGCTCATTACACCCCACCTTGGTTCAGGACTTTAAATATGTGCAGGTCACAATGGGAAGATTAGTTTGCACATTTCTGGAGAAAGGACATCAGTAGCTCTGACTGGGAATGGAAAAGAAGTTTTACTCTGTGGAATGGCTATCAGAGAGCAGTCACAGGAATAGAGCTCTCCCCAGTGTGGATTTATTGACATGTAGGTCTGGTACATCTACCCTTCAATACCACAAGGAGTTCAGTGCGTTTGGAATGGAGAGGCCAAGCACATCCACTGGCGGCAATGACAAGGGAAATCGCTCAGACCATGCAGCAGCACTTTACCAGATCCAAAGAACTCAGACACATGGTAAGATCTATGGTACAAGTTTTCCCAATGATTATCTATAGTACCATTTACCATTCCTGAATAATATACGGGAACAAGTAAAAAAAAAGTTTCCATGCATGCTCCTATACTCTTAACTTATCTTTGTTAATATGATATATATATATATATATATGTATACATTAACTATGAAGTCTCTTCAAGTAATACAAATTTTAAGTTGATCTAAAATCTATATTTTATTTGTGATTTTTTTTTTCTTTTTTTAATTTTTACTGACTTGTTCAGTATTTTCATGGTTGTAGCTCATATTCAAATTTACAGACTGTCTAAATGATTTTTTGTCACACAAATGCATGAATCAGCCTTTCTGAATGATTGTTAAAATAAAACACCAATTACTGTACAGCAAGTAAACCACCAAATCCTGCACTGCTTATAATGCCTTTGAGCAGGTTTATAGACTTGTGCTAATGGAGAGAAACAGCAAATCACTAGTTTGCATGAACTAAGTAATATTCAAAATATGTAATGAGCACGTTAACTGTACCATGTTCAAATGCAATTGCAAACAGCGTGGCAATGGTAACATATTTTATGCCACTTCACATATATGCAGTTTGAACTGCATCCAATCCATATGACATGTGAAAAAAACATTTCTTTTTATGGTGCCTGTTCACATATGTGCCGTGCACTGGTGGTGCGGATTCAGTGCTGTTTGAAAAAGAGTTGTATATGATATCTGAGCAGTTACTTCAGGTTCAGGAAGGGATTACAAGCTATTGACCTCTATGGGAACCATTTCTAAACTACATGTTTGTGAACAGGATAAAATCCTCAACTAATCCTGTCCTGAACATGATGTAAACCTGACATGAACAGGTGAACAACTACTTTGTCAATTAGCTGTGAATCCTGAGCTTCAATCTGTATCGCATATGTGTGAATCAGCTCTTATCATTATTATTCAATTTGGTCAATTTTTTTTTAATTAATTAAACAAAGCCTTTTTGTGGGTGGTATAGACGGGAATAAAATAATAAAAAAAAAAAGATTATTAGTATTGCCTTACCCCAGAATTAAGGATTTCCTAATACAGACAATTTTTGTATAGTAGCTGTTGGTTAGTGTACACAGGTGTTGGATATGGAATTTGACACAATGGATATTTGGGTGCTCACATTGTTTTTTACTACCAAAAATGCACAGCATAGTGATAAGTTCATCAATTTAACTATGAGCATAAAATGGGACAGGTTCTGGGGCTGGTTGATTCAGGTGAAAAACAAATGAGGTATAAACATCTAATTACATCACATGGTTACATATAACAAGCCACATTGTGACACTGAAAACAAGCCATATTTAGGTTACCTATAAACTCTGAATCTATCACCTTCTAAGCTGTTATCTTATAACATAATATTTTTTTTCAGAAATATTACCATGGGGGTGCAGTTACATGTGCATGGGTAAAATAAAGCTCCATACAAACTTGTATTTTCTTTCTATTTGACAGAGGGAACCATGTCTAGAAAGGCATTGAAGGAAGTTTCCCTTTGTAGGCCAACCTCAGAGAAATTCCAGATTCCAGACACAGACGGTACTAAAAACCCTGGATATCTTTCTGAAGAGGAGGCCGCATCTAGGTCACGTACTAAATTCAACAAACAGCAACTTCAGGAGCTAGAGAAGAGCTTTGAGGAACACAGATACATAGGGTCCAATGAGAAGAAGCGGTTGTCCAAGGTGCTGAAGTTATCTGAGGCCCAGGTAAGCATAAACAGATAATTTTCCCGATCTAATCTATCTACCTGGTATAATCAGAGGGCAGAAAGAACATCATACAAGAATAAAGGCTGCAAACTACATCTCAAATTTTCAAGTTGTGGGTGCATAATTGACTTTTGTCGAAATAGAACATAGAAATAAACATAGAAATTTAGTGTTGTCAAAATGTAGGTGTCAAAAAGAAGCACAAAATCGAGCTTAAGGTGTTTCCAAATGATACATTCACTTTTGGTGTACACATTAAAATTTATCAACAAGTGCATGCTAAGAGCAGTACAGCTGTTTTTCTTAATTCCTATCTGTATTTTACTAATAAAAGAGACAATTCTTAAAGGATTAGTTCACCTTTTAGAAAAAAAGAATTGCACATTTTTTTGCAGGTAAAAACATGTGCATTTATTGTTTTTGTCTGCAGGAGCCTGGAAAACATTACACCAGCGATCAGTAGATTGCTGATGCTCTGCAGGTCTCCTGCAGACCTTTCACAATATCTGCTTGCCATATGGGATGTACGGTCAAGCAGATATACTGACAGGAAGAATGAATGAACTATCACAGCTTCACAGCGCTGTGGTAGTTCATTGAGGACTACAAGCTGACAGCTGCTAAGACTGTCGGGGCCCCGCAGGACCACGTTTTTTTTTAAATTTGACAGCTAGCGAGGGGGGAGAAGATCCCCCGCTAGCTGTCAAAACTGGGATTGGGAGGGAGCGAGGGCCAGTCTAAATATAACAAGTTACACTCTGAATATGGGTGTAACATGTTACGAAAGGTAAACTTATCCTTTAAGTTTGCCATCACAGTTCGAATTTTGGTCAGTTCCTGTCGAATCAAACAAAAACTAAGCTGTAGGTGGCCCTACCTAGCCTGACAAAAGTTGATATTTCAACTGACTTTTGATAAGGGAGTCGATACACTAAATTATGGTTGATTTAATCAATAAACCTTTTAGGTTGTAATAATTCACACTGCAGCTTTTTCTGCTGCAGTTGAGTTGAATAGTAACACGATTTTAAAATGCTGCACTAATATATATTTGTTACAATGGAACATCTTTTCATACTATAAAGTAAATTAGTGGTGGTTTACATATGGGATTATATCAAATAATTTATCATGCTCTATAGAAATCCATTTCTGTGGTGAGATCGTATTGTCAGAAGAGTTTCTATTCATCTGTACCTGAGAGGACCATGGAACTAAATTTCCCACCTGAAATTTTCTAGAATATATTAAAGATTGACTTTTGCTAGCATCTGCAAAGAGAAATAAAATGTTGTTTTGGAAAACATGTAAACATGCTGTCCACATTTATTTCTAGGTTAAGACATGGTTTCAAAATCGAAGGATGAAGTTCAAGCGTCAAGGTCAAGATGCACGAGTTGAAGCTTTAATTTCCAGACTTTACGTGCCATACTATGGCTACTCAGATTTTCAAACCCCGACCTGCCCTGTCTGTCCTGAACCGGCCATACCCTTTACCCCTCCAATATCTACCCACCATCGTGCACTACTTTCTGCTACAATGATTACACCAAGAAATCCTCCAACATCCATGATGCCACCAGCAAACCTTGGTTCTTACCCATGCCCTTCAGTGCTTGTGCATCCATCACTTAAGGAGTCATATGGGCTAAGATACTCCCCATATTAACCTGGATGTGTTTGGGACACTTTCATGTTTTTATGAAAGGACACTTTGAAATTGTTGTAATATTTATTTTACATTATGTTATTACTGATGCATTTTTCTTTGAATTATAACTCATTATATTGGGGAGTAATATATAACTGACACTTTATAATTAAGTAATGTAAACCAAATAAAATTCTTATAGTTTATTGATTTTTGGGCTGTACATGGATCATTTATCACTCTAGGACAGCTTTCCTCAACATTTTCACCCCAGAGGAACCCTTGAGAAAACAACCCCTGCTAAATAATAATTGAACTAAAGCTCAGGCTACATTTGCATGACCATTAAGTTGTAGAATGTTTTAAATAAAAGAATAATAAATATGGCATACCTAGAATATTTGACACCCCAGGTGGATCATTTTATAACAACCCTACTCTATACAACTTAACTATTTTCTGTAACAATCAAGAAGCAAAATAATAATCAGAAAAGAAACACAAACAGGAAAAATTGTAATGTTCTTATACACTAGCAGTCAATGAAGAAAAGTCCCTTTAGCTAGTCATGCGCTGATCAAAATTCAGCTGGTCCATTAGGACAGGCCAAATTTCAATCAGTGCAGGGGCTCCCACTCTTGACAGAAGTCGACCGTCTAATCGACCTCTGTCAAAGGGACAAATTGGAAAAAATTTCTACCAATCAGAATGCAATGTCATGGATGGGGGGATTCCTCAAACCACCTTATGTGTCTGTGTGAATGAAGGAATCTTTTAATTTTATTTTCATTTTCATTCAGCCTGCTGGCTGAAAAAAAAAAACTATGACTTTGTATGGCTAACTTTACATTGGTAGTCACTGTTGGCCACCTGTACCTTGGCAAACACCAGAGAAGGGCCTGAGGTGGGCAATGGGTGGTCAGCGCAGACAGGAAATTATTCAACCACAGCTCAAGGAACGTGAGCATCATTTTTAGGAACCCAAGTTGAAGAAGGCTGTCCTAGGACATCACTATATCTAGCTTCTTATACAGCTTCCTACACTACTTGTATGCAGATCATTTCCAGCACGTTTTTCAAATTACCATGTGCAAAAATCATGTGCATCTAATGGTTAGGAGGAATCAATCCAAGAGAAGCATTACTTATACAAATTCTCCAACTGTGTTTGAGATGTAAATACTATCTTTAGAAAAATGCCCCCCCCCCCCCAATAATTACATATTTATGCCTATGATAAGCTTCTGTGAATGTATATATAACACTGTAAATTAGATTAATGGCTTTTGTATGGTTGTTTTGGCACTTCCAAATCATTCACTTCTATGCATTGTGTAGTAAGTCTTCACATTTTTTTATACAACACCAATAATAAATTTCACACCTTAGACCAAGCAATACACAACTGTTTGGCATCTCAACATTGTGGAGTATTGGTACCTTACCACATAAATGGGTATTCACTAAATTCACCCTATTCCCAAAATGTAAAATGATACTTCAGACAATACTGGGACATTCTCACACAGTACTAAATTGTCTGTGTCAGTGGACCATTTCACCCCTTAGTGGACTTGGCTGATAAAACCATGTTTTTCTGATATTATTATTGTTATTATTATACAAGATTTATATAGCGCCAACAGTTTGCGCAGCGCTTTACAATATAAGGAAGACAGTACAATTACAATACAGTTCAGTACAGAAGTAATAAGAGGGCCCTGCTCATGGAGCTTACAATCTAAAGGAAGGGGGAGGTGGTACAAAATAGTAAGTAATAGTTGCAGGGGATGATCTGATGGAGGTGACTCAAGTACAGTTCTTAGGCGGAGGTGTGGTAGGCTTCAATGACTAAGTGAGTTTTCAAAGATCGCCTAAAGGCAGACAGGGTGGGGGCTGAGCAGACATACTGGGGTAGGGAGCTCCAGAGGATGGAAGAGGCACCGGAGAAGTCCTCTAGGTGAGCGTGGGAGGAGGTGACGAGGGAGCTAGAGAGAAAGATGTCTTGGGAGGAGAAGAGCAGGCGATTTGGACGATATCTGTGGATGAGGTTGGTGATGTCGATTGGTAAGATGTATAAGTCTAGCAGCAGCAGCATTCATAATAGAATGAAGGGGAGATAGCCTGTGTAATGGTAGGCCAGTGAGTTGCAGTAATCAAGGCGGGATATGAACAAGGCGTGGATAAGTTGTTTTGCGGTGCCATTAGTGAGGACGGAGCACATTTTGAAAATGTTGCGGAGGTTGAGGTGGCAGGATTTAGCCAGTGATTGGATGTGGGGTCCAAATGAGAGGTCAGAGTCTAGGATTACACCTAGCACCTTGGCATGAGGGGAAGGACCAATGGTTGTGCTGTTGATCTTGATGGTAAAGTCATGAGCAGGGGCGGACTGACCATTTGGAAACTCGGGCACTGCCCGAGGGCCCGGGGTCAGTAGGGGGCCCCATGAGATGCCCCTGGTACCTTTTTCATAGGCTTATTTGAGTTTGGGCAAGGACACAGGGGCCCCATGATCCCCTATTGCCCAGGGGCCCCATGAGTTGTCAGTCTGCCCCTGGTCATGAGTGGAGGATTAGGGAGGAGGAAATATTTCAGTTTTTAGAAAGATTGAATGAGGGAGTCATGTGAAATCCATACTGATATGTCGCTGAGTAGATTTGTGATACATGAGGAGATTGAGGGGGTGAGCTGGGGAGTGGAGAGATAGATCTGGGTGTCATCAGCATAGAGGTAGTATTGGAAGCCATGGGAGGTTATCAATTGGCCCAGGGAGGAGGTGTAGAGAGAGAAAAGGAGGGGCCCTAGGACAGAGCCTTGGGGTACCCCAACAGAAATGGGAAGAAGAGCAGAGGAGTTGTTGTTGTATGTAACACTGAAAGTGCACTGAGAAAGGCTAGAGGAGAATCAGGAGAGAGCAGAGTGATGGAGGCCAAGAGAGTTGAGTTTACTGAGGAGGAGTGGGTGGTTGGCTGTGTCAAAGGGAGCGGAAAGGTCTAGGAGTATAAGTATGGAGTAATGGCCATTAGTTTTAACAGTTAGTAGGTGAGTTTTAGCAGGGCAGTTTCAGTGGAATGTTGTGGGCAGAAGCCAGACTGTAGAGAATCAAAAAGGTTGTTGTCAGTGAGATAGCAATTTATTCGGTTGTGAAAAAGGCACTCAAGAAGCTTGGAGGCAAACAGGAGCAGGGAGATAGGTCTTAAGTTATTCCAACAGGTGGGGTCCAGTGAGAGTTTAAGTATAGGGGTAACCAGTGCATGTTTGAGCGGGGAGGGAAAGGTGTTGGTGGAGAGGGTGAAGATGTGGGTTAGAGCGTTTAGGATAGAGCAGGACGGAGGCCACAGTAATCGTGAGGGGACAGGGTCCAGGGGACAGGTGGTGGGTGAACCTCGGAAAGGAGTTTGGCAACTTCCTCAGTGGTAACAGCGTCGAAGGAGGAGAGTATAGAGTGTGGTGTTGGGCCTTGTATGTTGGTTGGAGAAGGAAGTTTGACACTGGAGATCTCATCACAAATTGTGTCGATCTTGTTCTTGAAATGACCAGCAATCTCCTGGGCAGTAAGTAAGTTGATGGGTGGAGGCAGTGGGGGATGGAGTAAGGAATTAAGGGTAGAAAAGAGTTGACGAGGATTGGATGAGAGAGTTTTGATGAGATTGTTGTAGCAGGTTTGTTTAGCAGCGTGGAGGCTGGAGTTCTATATGAGAAGGGCAGATTTGTAGAGGGTGAAGTCTTGAAGGAATTTCGTTTAACACCATGCTCACTGCATCTCTTGAGACTTCTGGTGTCATCTGGTTGCCAGGGTTGTGACAGGCGAGACCTGGTTCTGCATGTAGAGAGAGGAGCAAGTGCATCCACAGAGGATGATAGTAGGTTTTTGTAGGCAGATATGGCTAGGTCTGGGCAAGACAGGGGTGCAATTTTATCATAAAGGCACTCAGTAGCAGAGTGAAGAAGTGAAGGGCTGAGTTAGTGGAGATTTCTACTGGTAACTGTTTGCTGGTTGGAGGCATGGGAGGTAGGAGACAGGAAGAGTGTGAAGCTGATAAAGTTGTGATCAAAGAGAGGAAATGGGGTGTTAGAGAGGTTACAGAGAGTGCATAGGTGATAGAATACAAGGTTAGGTTAAAAGAGGAGGTTAGGTTGAGTAGTTGAGAAGTGGCTGAGGTGTTAACATTGACTGGGATGTTAAAGTAACTGAGGATGATGGCAGGCACCTCAGAGGAGAGAAAGTAGGATAGCCATGCAGAGAAGTTATCAAGAAAGCATGACACTGAGCCAGGAGGCCAGTAAATGATTGTGATCCTCAGACAAACAGGAAAAAAAAGATGAATATGGTGCACTTCAAAAGAACAGAGGGACAGAGAGGGAGCTGTAGGAAGAACCTGGAGCGTGCTTTGTGGGGAAAGAAGAAGTCCAACTCCGCCCCCTTTTCATCCACTGGGTCTGGGCAAGTGAGTTCAGAGGAGGCCTCCATGGAAGAGGGCAGCTGAGTAGACAAAGTCAGATTCCTGGAGCCAGGTTTAGGTAATAGCAAGTAGGTTGAGGGAGTGGGAGAGGAAGAGATCAATGACAGTGGAAAGTTTGTTAGAGACTGAGCAGGCAATCCAGAGGGCGCATAAGAAGGAGGGGCCGGCTAGTAGAAGAAGGGGAATTGAGATAAGAGAGTGAGGGTTTGGGCTGGTGCCAGAGAAGGGAGACTGCTGGTTCTGTGGGTGGGAGTTTGATGGTGAAGGGCCAAGGTTTGGGGCAATGTCTCCGGAAGTTAGTAGTAGGAGGGTGAGGTGGAAGCGGGATTTATATGAGGGCAAATGCCACAGTGATTTTGGAGTGGTGACATTATGTGCACCACAAAAGGAAAAACCTATTCATTCAAAGAATTTTACAACTGCTCCACTGATCATGTGATCTATTGTATATCCTGCCCTTGTGGCCTCCTATATGTGGGACGCACCATCAGACCCCTCCGCGCCAGGTTTGGCGAGCACAGACGTCTTATTGAAGATGGTAAAGACAAACATAGC